CCCCAAAACCCCAAAACCCCAAAACCCCGCACAGAAGAAATATTGACTCTAATATAATAATTTATAATAAAATGGAAAGCTTAAGTCAGCCAAGAAGACAAGACAGGCCCAAAGCTCTTGTGTAAGTGTCTGCTTTTGACTAAGAAGCCATTATAAAGAGCCCAGGTTCTTGTGGTTATAGAAATAGGGACCAAGAATTGTATTATTTACATTTTAAAGTGTCGTTATTAGTCTTGTAAATTTTGGATACGAAAATTTACAATCTAGAGAGAATTCATTCATGTAGTTTTGACATTTTGAGTTAAATGTTTTACTTTAATTCTCAAGAATCAGAATTTTATAAGTATGGATCTATGAGGGGTTAGTATATAAACTAATTCCTGCCATAAACGAATCTATTTATGCATCAAAATTTGTTAGTATAAAATCAAATCAATATTGAAGCAATAAACTAAAAGGAGGGAAACAAATTTTTCCTATTCCTGGATCAATTAGCCTTTATGCTAGTGATTTGTGTTACATTTGAGAGTAAAATTTTAACTGTTTTCTTTGGATTATAGGATATGCCTTAAAGAGCTTTCTTTAAACATAACAAGCTTAAAATCACTTCAGATAATATTAGAAATCATAACTCTTCCGAACTTGAAATTATCTTTTAAACAACTAAAGTAGCCTTGCTTCCCCCTTACTTTCCGATAAATGGAGAGCTTGAATTGATAAAAGCAGTTCTAAATGCCAACTAAAAGCCATTAAGGCTTTATGGAATTTATTAAGTAAATTTATAATCTGAGAAGTTATCAGTGAGGCTTGAAAATCATGATGACTTTATACAAATATGAACTTCATTCGGTAGATTTCGTAGTCATAATAAATTGAAACAAAGTCACTTGTTGATAATAAAATGTGCTGTGAACACAATTATTAATGTATAAACATCATTAAGAAGTATTCCTATTAATCAGGAAAGTATTCTTTAAGCTTATCCTTGATTTCTTTATTTCCTGAACAATTAATGACCCAGCCTCAAATTGTGTATCAACTTGGGATATAAATTTTAGCTTATGCAAAGAAGCAATAAGAAATAGGAGTTATTAAGTTTTACATATTCGCACCTTATAAGTGAGCTTGAGCTATAAATTCATAAACTCTTTGTCTCTCCAAAGCTTTGATATTTCTAATTTTAATAAACGTATCTTCTCAATCGATCTCTAGCCTTATTTATCTGCCAATATAGCATGGAGAAATCTATTTTCCATAAAAACAAAAATATTGATAAAATATTAAGAGGAGCGCATTACTTCACCCGTTATCTATCTGAATTGGAGGACGATTGATCAGATTCAGACGCAGACTTACAAAATTGGAATCTGATTTTTGATATATTATTTAGTAATCAAAAAGATCTGAACTTTGTGAAGAAAGAACCTTTTCTTAATCAGGAGAACTTCAGTTCTTTGTAATTAGACATTATATATAATAGAAACAAGCATGTGGCAAACTTCCTTAAGTACTTATACCCTGGGAAGGTGGAAAGACTGGGCATTATTTGTGCTAATCAATTGCCTTTAAGCATATCTCCATTCTTTAACAACTTCATGAGGCTTAGCCATTGAGTTTCCAAGGAATTTGTTATTTTTAGATTTAAAATCAACTTTCATCAACTAAAGAAAATAATATCAGCATGCAAGCATGTAGGACTTATTGCTTGCACCTCCTGTAAGATTTCCATTCCAGCTGTTATGGATTTATCTAAAGTGTTGAAGAATACAAAAATCGAAGAATTAAATTTCTATTATTGAGGAAATGCTAATTATTCAAATTGGGCTCACAATCCAGAAGAGTTTGTCAACCTTGTGCAAGGACTAGACACTTCTCCAGATCTGAAACTGAGTCTGAATAAATTAAAAGTAGGCGAATGTGAAATAGAAGGGAGTCAAATTAAGAAAGTTCTTGCAGAGAATGGGTTTGAGAATCTTAAAGTTATATTTTAATGATTTTAACTATAACTCTGTTCATTTTCACTCTCTATTCAATTCTTGTAGCCTTTAATGGGGTTTTGGGGTTTTGGGGTTTTGGGG